TATATTGATAGCGAAGTGTGTCATTTTGGCAAAGCGATTAATTATCAGATAAATCTAGCATAATTCGCATAAAGGTAATGGCTAAATATTTCTGAGTAGTGATCTAAACCAGGATTTCTATTTGGTCATTGATGAAGTGTCCCCCAATTCCATAATTACTAAAAACCAATTTCGGCTATTAAGATAATTTTTTCTTGAAACCGATGTACAACTTCTTGCCAATGCTCCCCCAACTCGGCCATTGATAGGCTAAAACGTCGAATGAAACAGTGGAGTGTCTCATAATCCGCACCATTTTAACGATTACCTTATTGAGGTAAAGGTTGAAATATATAAATTGTCTCCTGAGAAGCAGAGCTACTGTACAAAGTTCATCAATCAGTTCAGTTATCTCCTTGTACTCCGATGCTGTCAACTGAACTTCTGAACTCAAAATCCGGTCGAGTAGTTTCCTTTGCTTCCTTAATACATGCATGAAGGTGTCGAAATGCAGGACTAATACTTCGTTGTCTACAAATTCCATCTTAACGGGGTATAAACTGCTGATTACAATTGTGAGCTCAATTGATTTTCGAATTCCCAGAATGTATTCACAATGATTATAGAGTGCTCTAATCACAAATATTCCCAAAAATTATAGCAATATGTTTTGTTGACTGCAATAAATTATAATGTCAAAAGAATATACTTTATTTCATTGGGATTTTGGATCAAAATTTTTAACGGCTAGAAGTACATTAGGGCCGTTGCGGAGTCAATCACTACCCTCTTTAACGTCATTTTATTTCCATATTATTTCCCGTTCAGTTTGCAGAAGTTACTTCTCTAATACTCTGCGTTTCGTAACTCATAACATGGCCATGTGGCTCGCTAACGCATAGTGTAAGGCCTTTGTCAAATCAGAATTTGGACAGAATCTGTGAAATAAATCAAAGGTAGGTGGATGGTGAAGAGGTAGCCGTGAAGTGGATACAAATTTCAAGTATTGGGAGATGGATTAGTTGCTGTTGAATGGCCTTCAAATATGTGGTGATGGGTATGGGAATCGTGAGAGGATGAGCAAACTGTACTATAGACCAAATTAATAGGTGCAGTGAAATCGAGGGGCTCGTATCTGATCTTTTCTATGTGCCAAACACGCCACCCCCTTTGATGGAAGCCCAATTATGTAATTTGAGTAATGACCCATAGATACCATTATTCAGTCCTCAATCGACAAGTCATACCTGGAAGACTCAATAACATGCAGAGTGAGAATTGTTTGTTGTGGTTTCACTAGGCGTCACCCAAATTACAAGTACATTCTCTGCACATTACGATCGAATATAACAATTACCACTAAATCCACGGTGTGAGAATTGACGACTGTCAAACCGTTAGGCTACATTAAATCAACGATCTTATCATATTCAATTTTAAAATGGAATCTATCCCAACTATCTATGTTAAAAATTTATAAATAAACGGGGCACATGGTGACGGTGGTGGTGGTGGTTGGGAGTCTATCAGGAAGGGAATGCGAGAGCGTTACCTTCTCCTCAGTCAATTTCAAAATATTTGCTAAATAAGGATGTGTTTGTAAAGTAAGACACCTTTTTCAGTTAAGGTGACACAGGACAAAAAGATCCAAGTCCAGAAAATCCTACAAACCTTTAATGTAGACATATTTACAATTATGGAAGCAAACATTTCGGATGACAAACTGAAGTACTACTGATTCCCAGGTTACACCCTGTACTTTCTACCTAAATACCGGCAAGTTGCAAGTGGAATTCTAACTGGAGTTAAAGAAGGCCTCACCTCCCACTAAGATCTAATCAAGAGTATGGGCTCGGCACAAGACATAAGTGAAATAATCAGATTAAATGTTTGGAAATGTCAAAACCACTTCAAGATATATGCAGTCTATAATCCACCCCAGAATAGTCCCTACTATGACTTTTTGAACATCTCACACAAAACTGTAGTATTAGGAGACTTCAACGCCCATTCCACCAGATGGGGCTACAAGGATACAAACATAGCTGGAAAGGAAATCGAAGACATGCTAAACAGCAACCCTCTGGAACTAATTTACAGCAATGAGGATCCGGCTACATATTTGCACTACAATAGAACCAGAACAACTCCTGATTTACTCTTGGCTTCAAGCGACATCAGTGAGCATACACGCCGCAAAATAATTGACGATCCTGGTTCTGGTCACAAATCAGTCATTGCTAGTATTCCCATCGGCAGCAAAAGCATGACATGGAAAGTACTAACTAAGCTATCATGGAACGTCAAGATGGCTAACTGGTCTAGATTCACTAACCTTTTAGACAACGAACTTCAGTGGTCTAGATTCACTAACCTTTTAGACAACGAAGCCTGACTGGTCTAGATTCACTAACCTTTTAGACAATGGAAGTCCCCTCAACTTCAACCAACATCCTGACAAACTTTGCGATCAGTCCCCATTCACTAATCTTTTAGACAATGAACTTCACACAAGTCCCCCCACAAACCTTTTGGAGAATGAACTTCACACAAGTCCCCACGGGATGAAATTTATTCAAGTCCCCTCATCTTCAACCAACATTCCTACCTTTGCACCCGAATATTATGATCAGATGTGCAAAGAAAACTATTCCCCTTAACTTCAGCCAACATCCTGACCAACTTTGCACTGCTATCACGAGAACCACCATCCTGACAAACTTTGCAATGATATTACGAATATCATGATCAGATGTGCAAAAAAAACTATTCCCCGAGGCAAGATCAACTTCAACCAACATCCTGACAAACTTTGCAAAGATATCGCGAATATTATGATTTAGATGTGCAAAACTATTCCCCGAGGTAAAACTAAACACTATCGAGTGTTACTATTCCCCGAGGCAAGACTAAACATTATCGAGTGTTTTGTTATTCCCCGAGGCAAGACTAAACACTATCGAGTGTTTTGGTGTCCCCGAGGCAAAACTAAACACTATCGAGTGTTTTGGTCTGAACAACCCCGAGGCAAGACTAAACACTATCGGGTGTTTTGGTCTAGACACCTTGAGGAACTGAAAAGAAAGCGGGACTTTCTTCGCTTTGGTCCTAATGAGTTCGTTGAAATTGGCTCAATTCAAGGAGAGGTCGCACAATTAGTTAAAGCTTTAGAATTTAGACTCAATGCCTATTCTTGCAGAATTTAATTCAAAAGTATTGAGTATTTTTAAATAAAGCCTATTTGCAAACAAGATCTTTGTTTGCTTTTGAGGTCAAAGCACTGATGGGAACCAAAATTGAGTAAGTTTTATGTTCGGGGTCATACTACTAACTATGCGATAAAAAGACTCCTTCTTTTTGGACACTTGAATAAATCGTTTTCGTTCATCGACACGAATGCCTTAATTATACATAGTTGGTTGGTCAGGCTTGAAATTTAAATTTCATGGTATTACCAACACAGAACATTACAATTTACGTTTTTTTTCATGCATGGAAGCTTGAAATAATAGTTTGATTTACATTTATTTAAATTCAGTTAGAATATTTTTGCTAATAGTTGTTTATTTACAGTCGAAACATATTTTCCACTTTCCACTTTCCACTTTTTCCAGAGTCGCTTGAACTCATATTCTTTCTATCATCCAATTTGTACAAGGATATCCAGCAGTAAGACGGAATCCTAATAAATTAACAATATAAAGTACGATAACTTGATTAATTGGCATAGCCTAGCTTTATTGAAGTGCTAGATACCTTAGGCCGATTCGAGAATCATATGTATTAGCGAATCTCACGTCCCGATTATAAATTTCACCGTCAATTATTCTTCCCCACCCCCACCTTTTTACGCCTTTATTATGCCTTCTTAACTAAGGAAATGTCTTTACTAATCTGCGGAGATTTTATTTTCTAATTTCCCTTTAACTTGTTTTCCAACCTTCCACCTCCTCTACACTTTAAATCACTTTTTGATTTCTCATCCAAAGGATTCTTTCCTTCAAAAAGTATATATTAGGTATGCTATTGCAACGAGTCCGAATAAGCAATACTCATATTTGCAGTCCTTATGCTTTGTCCAGAGATAACACTTCCACATAGGCTTTCCCATAGCCAACCTCCCCCCCCCCATCACCATTATTGATAAGTGGAATTTCATTGCCCCTAACGGCTGGACATTGGCAGCTTACGGAACAATCCTATCAGCCGTGTGGTATTGCATTGATCTCTGGATATATTCAACATAAATACGACTTGAAATTCAAAGTAATGGCTTAGTTAGGAACTGAATGGCTTGGGTTGACTGCGTTTCTGTTTTGTCTTGTCTCTCTGCGACCGAATTAACTCAAAACATGCAATATCTGTTTGGTGGATATCTTGTTTTACTATATTAAAAGAGCAGAACAATACCCCATTGCGCTACTAGGATTAGAACAAATATATTTTTCAATAGCAATTAGCTGAACAGTCCCCGTACTTACACTAAGTAAAACCTCAAGACCTCTCAAAATTGCTTTCCCGAACATATCAAAGTTTTGGTCGTCCTATCCAAAACTAATTTAACGGCCCACTTAATCTCATATGCTCAAATCGCAGTTGTCTGATGTGGTTTTTCCCGCCTCTCTCACAGTGACTTAAATTGTTGTCATGTGATCCTTCACAAGCGAATTTTATGTTTGTGATGCAAATTTAATGCTCTCAACGCTCTTCGTTTTCTTTTATATTACCTTTGTGGGATGTGTAATAGACTTACCTCCACGTGATGCACTCTGGGCAGCGTATACTCATATGGCAAGAGTCTATTAATCGACAGTTGACTTCTGACTTCAAACTACCATGACCCACTTCCACAGTACTCACCTCGCCTTTTTTCTACCTTCGTCTTTGAAATACTATTTTGTTCCCCCCCCCCTCCCTCCTCTCGACTTCTTTTCACTTTGATGTTCCTTCCCTCTGTGAAACCTGAACCCAACCAAAGGGCTAATGACGACCGTCAAAACTCCTTCCATTTGATATAATATTACCTTAGTTTTCCTTCTACTGAATTTTGTTTCCAATATTCTCCTGAAATGCAAATCGATCTTGTATGATCATTTCGCCATTCTTGGATCTGGTTGCCTTCTGCAAGTGGGGTCTTTAGCTATTA